AACCGAGTAATTCCTGCAGAATGAGTCAGGGGTCTACTTTGCTCCACACAAAACAGTCACCGTGATTCCCACAGGTTGGAGCGCGCATGTGGGAGGCAGAAGACCCCAGTTCAATTCCCACCTCAGGCAGGGGAAGAGAAAGGAACCCCACCGCCAAGGAGTGCTCGAAATACCGAGCTCTGGGATAGTCTGCTTGGCGGGCGGGGGGAGGAGAGCTTCCCTCAGCCTCTCCGGTTGAAGATGTTCCACTCTCGATTGATAGGGAGAGAGTCGCTGTGAGGGAGAGAGAAAGAGGCAGGCAGCAGAACATGCCCATGGGCTGCCCGTGGCCAGATTTACGGGCGCGAGGCCTCAGCATCTGCCTCGACAAGGACGCTCAGGCATTTGCAGTCCACGGCCTTCGAGACTAGCTGTTGTTTACGCCGTGATTTTATGCACTGCGGCACAGCCGCTACTCGGCTCAGAACACCGCACCTGCCACGCTAATTCCCACAAGTTGTGCGGTTATTCGGTTGATGGCTGGAGTGGGGGGGAAAGAATTGAATGTGACTGGAGGAATGGGAGACAGTTTGGGGGATGCACAGGACCGACCTAATTTTCAGGAGACACTTTTTGGGCTGAGCAGGTTTGGAGGGTCTCTTTTGGCATCTGTGATTCATTAGAATTGGGACGGTAATTTCCCGATGTTGTGATGAATTTTTTTATCCCAATGAAAATGAACAGACAGGATGATGCTACAGCCGGTGGTTGGGCACCCCACTGGAAAGCGGGAGACCCACCGTCTTGGCTCCATACTCCAACGGGAGAGGCTGAGAGAACCTCACACCTCAGTGTTTAAAGCGATGGGAGACCCCAGTTCAAATCTTTTCCTTCTCCTGAGGCAGAGACTTGAGCTCGGGTCTCCCACGATGCAGGCGAGCGCTCTAACCACTAGGCTAACCAGTTACAACCGTACTATTCCCACCTTAACCTCCTAGAGTTTGAATGGGACTAATCCAGTAGGTAGCCTCTGAGCAGGCCTACTGGATTGGCTCTCCTGGGTGAAATAAGACCCCCTCTGCCTCATGCTTTGGGGATTGTGCCAGGATGGAGGCTACTCCCAGACCCTGCCTTGCAGGACTCTCTGCTTTTACCAGGCAAGACCACAAAACTAGTTACTACTGGGGTTATTGCTTCCCCCACCCCTCTGAAGCCAACAGGGGGTACCTTGTGGCTTTACATTTAATTAATCTGTCATGAAGCCTTACTGTGTCTGACTGTAAAATTAAACTGGTTATGTCAGACTGAAGACTGTGCCGGGCCAAGGAGGGTGCTGCGGGGGTCTGAGTGTGAGAGGGATCGGGGTGGGGTGCTTCTCCGCCCCCTTGCTCCCCGCTATGGGAGCAGAGGGGTAAACCCTCAGAGGAAGTGCCTCTGTGCGCTGATCGGCAGGAGGAAGGGGGAGCACGCAGTGATGCTGCCTCCTTGGGTGTTCGCAGTTTAGGGACACCCGGAGTACGGAGGTTCAGTTGTACATCTTCCTTATTTACTACAATGCAACACAAAGGTAGCAGCATGCCGTATACACACTGAGTACAGGTGGAAACTCTCTAAAATGGGACTCCTGGGTCACCACGGATGTTGCCGGATCACGGAGTCTCGGTGGAGGGCCACAGGTAGGGGCCCAGTAGGTGTCAGGATCCCACCTGGGCTGGTTGCAGGGAGACTGGTGGCTGGAAGACTGCTGTGGAAGCCCGTCTGAGCCGGCGGCAGAGCGCCCAGAGTGCCAGCAGGCTCCAACGGTCGGCCGCAGTGGGCCTGGGAGCCTCAGTGGGTCTGTCAGGGCCAGGAACCCCGGGTAAACTGCGACAGAGCTAGTGGGCCGGGAGCCTGGCATGGCAGAGGGACGGTGGCAGGTAAGGGGGGAGCCGGCAGCTGCCAGGAGAAACCAAGCTGCGGGCCCAGAAGTGACTTCCCTGATCCGGCAAAATCCCTCATTCGGAACCAGTCAGGCCCTGAGGGTGCTGGACCAGGGAGGTCCAACTGGTAGTAAAACTTTATCTGGGAGTCTTCTACTGGGAGCAATACTAAATGAAGTCGATGAAAAGTGTCTCAGTGGGAAAGGGGTATTTCCAAGCTCAAACCCGTATGCCTTTTAAATGGAGACGTTCACCCTTACACAGTGGGCCCCTATGCAGTCTACACGCCACTGACGTTCCACTTACACCATCAAGTTAGAGTTTAAATTGGCTGCAGTGAGTAGGGTTGCCAGATGGTTTCACCAAAAATACCAAACACTACCCCCACCAAAAAAAAATACTGGGAAAAAAAATTCTGTCGGGGAAAAAAAAGGGGGAGACCAAAAAAAAAGGGACCCTGACAGCAGTTAAGAAAAAAAAAAAAAAAAAAAAATTTAAAATTTAAAAATAAAAAATCAGCATGGCCACTTTAAGAAGAGGCTTTTTGCCGGCAGCCATTTTGTTTTTTTTTTTTATTTTCCATTTTAAGCCAGAAGACAAGCCCCTGCAGAACCAGGTAAGCGAGGGTTGGGGGGGGTGTCTGGGGGACCGGGGGTCCAGGGGCTGGGCCCGGTTGCTAAGTGTGTCGTAGGGTTGCCAGATGTCCGGTATTTCCGCCTTGTGGCAGGGAAAACCCCCCCCAGAAAATACCAGACATTTTAGGGGTCCGGTATTCTCTGAATTTTTTTTACTGGACAGAAGGCGAAAATACTGGACTGTCCGGGTCAATACCGGACACCTGGCAACCCTAGGCCAGTGAGGTACAGGCCTTAGGCCGACTCTGAGCAACGGGAAATGTCATGGAAAAGGGCAGAAGACTGAGGCCACTGCCGAAGAGTTCCAAAGAGCAGGATACAACTGGGAACCTCGTGGATGTGCCCATGACAGGTCCCCAGCATGGCTGCATGAGATGATGCATGATGTCCATGCCTCTGCTTTTCCATCAGAAAGAAAAAAAACTAAAAAATCAACCCCTCTGCCCATGGCCTAGAACCATCATTTAGCAAAACTCAGTGGCCAGAAAGTTTTCAGAAATGCAGAAAATTTAATCATCTATTTCTTTTAGGAAACTATGTGGGTCAAAAATCGCCTGAATCCATTTAAGTAAAATGCTTTGAAAAGATCGCGTGTATTAGACAGTAATAGGGACAGCCAGGCTTCCAAGGAGACAACTATTCATGGTTCGCCAGAGTGTTACAAAACTGAATTTTACAACACAGGTCCTAGCAAATCATCAAGCAGAACTACTTGGGAAATGTTCGTTCTTGCAAAAAAAAAAAAAAAAAAAAAAATCTGGTCAGAGATAAAAGATTCAGCCGACATTTTTCTTCAAAATGGTTGGGTTCTCGTGGAAAAACTAAAATCCCACCAACTATATTTTTTCATGAGTTTTTGGCTCATGAACACTGAAAAAATTTCAACCACAAACTGAAATGTTTTGTTGAAATCCAGCATTTTCCAGAGACATTTCCATTTCTGGTGAAGAAGTTGTCAAAGAACATTTCAAATGAAACATTTTAACCCACTCTGTACTCTATCCTGAAGTTGTCCAAGCAAAGAGCCAATTTTAAACATACTAATTACCAACTGCATGCACTAAACTTCCAAAGAATAGGACAGGAAAACTCTCGGGGTTTGCTCAAGGCTATTAATTCCATAAAACACAATTAGCTTTCCAAAAGGCAGAATGCATTTCAAAAACACAATAATGGCAAACAGGAGATTTTAACCACATTATACAAGGAACCATTTAGCTGCAGATGTATTTGACAGAGGCATTTGTCGATGACACATTACTACATTAATTCCAAGTTAGGGAAACACTATCATTTTGACATTGTATGCCACCAGCACTGACAAAGAACAGAACACATTGTCTCCCACGTCCCAAGCCAGCACTATGACACTGGGCCACCATAAAAGCTATACAGAATTGTTCTGGGGTGAATTTCAGGCCACGTCTAAACTTACCCGCAGATCGACTCTCTGAAGACCCATCTTCTGGCATTTGATTTACGGGGTCTAGTAAAGACCTTCTAAATCGAATGCTGAGGGCTCCTCCTCCCTCCTAGAGATGCTGGTACTCCTAGACCTCGCCTTTTTCCTGTCGACCTCCCGTTGTGGGGAGGGTGCCAAAGTTCAAATCGAGGGATGCTGACTATGCAATTAACTTAGCTGGAGTTGCATATCTTAATTCGAACTTCCGGGAGGCCTCAGTTGTAAAATGCACTCCATGCAACTGAACTTCAGGGGGAAAAAACTCTTTTCATTGATATTTACAGGCCGTCCTCGCTATAAGTCCAAGATACATTCCAAAAAAACTTGGACTTATAGCGAAACAACTTAAAGCGGGGAAATTTTTTCCCATGGCTAACTTCCACTTGTGCAAATTGTTTTGTGGTGGGCTTTTTTGCACAACATAAGAGTGGGGAATGGGAGGATTTATCAGAAAAACTTGGACTTATAGCGAAAATTTTTGCACGGATGTATACCAGGGTGCCCTCTACACTAGGGCTACGTCTAGACTGGCATGATTTTCCGCAAATGCTTTTAACAGAAAAGTTTTCCGTTAAGAGCATTTTCGGAAAAGAGCGTCTTGATTGGCACGGATGCTTTTCCACAAAAGCACTTTTTGCGGAAAAGCGTCAGTGCCAATCTAGATGCGCTTTTCTGCAAAAAAGCCCCGATCGCCATTTTCGTGACCGGGGCTTTTTTGCGGAAAACAAATCTGAGCTGTCGACACTGGCCCTTTTGTGCAAAAGTTTTGCGCATAAGGACTTTTGCCCGAACGGGAGCAGCATAGTATTTCCGCAAGAAGCACTGATTTCTTACAGCAGGAAGTCAGTGCTTTTGCGGAAATTCAAGTGGCCAGTGTAGACAGCTGGCAAGTTTTTCAGGAAAAGCGGCTGATTTTCCGGAAAAACTGGCCAGTCTAGACACAGCCTAGGAGCCTTATAACACTGTTTTTATATACAAAGGAATGAAACATCAGATATTACAGACCTTTCCAGGTTCACACTCTGTCCCGTCAGCCCAAGGTGTGTGTTGAGTACGGCATCCTTTGTGCGCTCCATCGATGTTAATGCACCAGAGTCGACGGCACTGCATCTGCTTAATTAATTGAAACAATCACAGTATTAAATAAGGCCCAGCTTGAGCGTGATGCATCACATGACGTTTCACGCTAGACTTGCCATCTCTATATCCGTGAATGTGTGCAACAGCAAACAGCGCCAGAGGAAGGGGGGTACCGAATAGCCCAGGGACCATAAAATACCAGTCCCAAAAGTGGTTGAGTGTGAGCAAATGTCTTCATCTGTGCGGAGCCCCCACGAAAGCAAATTACCAGGAGAGCTGACTGGAAAATTTCTGTCAACAGGTGTCCCGAAGTGGGGACGGTATCCGCTCTATTCACTGGTCATGTTGCATGTGACTCCCACTCTCCTGCACTGTTCTGTAGTGACTCTATGTGTGTGTGCCTCAGTTTCCCTGGGCACTGCACCGAGGCCAGATGGGGATGGGCATTTGGGGGTGTGACTCACACGGGGGGCGGGGGGGGGGCTGCCCCAGGCCAGCACATTCACAATGGCCCAGGCTCACTGTAACATGAGCCTAGAGAGAGGGGAGAAACCCGGTGACCTCTTTTGACCTGGAAGCTGGAGGCAGGCTGGAGGCAGGGCTGCCTGCAGGGCTGGGAGCAATTGCTGAGTGCAGGAGTGAGTCTTAGCTGGCTTAGGATACCGGGAGGGGGCCCAGCCCCCCGGCCTTGCCCCGCATGTGCCATGCTTTGTCCCTGTGAACTAATAACCCTTCTGTTCTGCCTGCTGGCTCAGAGTCCCATCTGGCTGCGGATGGGGTGCAGGGCCCGGGGACTTCCCCCCATCTCGGTGACGACAGAAGAATCGGACAAAACATGGGCTGCGCACGTCCGCACTGGAACCAGAATCATGAAAACGCCACCTCTCTTCTGCTCGCCGTGCCCACTGAGCCGAAGCTAGCAGTGACCCTGACTGCGCACGTCCGCACTGGAACCAGAATCATGAAAACGCCACTAGCAGTGACCCCAGGAGCCTTCCCTCCGGTGGGAACGGTTAGTTGTCTGTGTGGAACGGAACATAAGGGAACCGACACGCACTGGTATCGGGGGGAAGGTGGGGGGGAGAATCTCAGCAAACAGCAGCAGGATCGCCGACGGGGAGGAGGCTAAGGGGGCAACTGCCTCAGGGCCCGGTGGTTCAAAAGGCGCTCCTGATGACTGCTGCTGCTGTAATTGGGGCCCCTAGAGCCCCAGGGCCCTTTACATCACTGGCAGAAAGGGGCGGGGTGAGGAAGGCACATTGCATGCTGGGCAGTGCTGAGGACTGCCCCCCACACCTTGGGCCTAGCGAGATGGTCAGCTCCCCAGTAGAGCAAGGCTGAGCCAGGCTGCAGGGGAGAGTGAGGACAACAGTGTGATGTGAACAGAAGGCTTTTGTTTCCAGGGCGGTGTGTTAAATAACCCTGCCGTGGCTCATCCACACAGGACAGTCGCACTTTACAGCTCCCAGCTAATCATGTGGGACTTGGATTTTCCCGAGCGACTAGGTATTTTGAGATGCCTCCCGCTCTAGGTGGACAATTGATAAGCCCAAGAAGCGATGAGCACCCGCCCTCTGGGGAAAAATATCGAACCCCTTTCACGTGTCTTAACAGATGGAGGCTCTCAGCATCTCTCTTGAAGATCACGGGTAGGAAGCTACCAAATTCATAGGCCATTTAGGTCAATTTCACAGTCATCGAATTTAAAAAACACCCACAAACGTCATGATATCAGCTATTTAAATCTGAAATGTCACAGTCTTGTAGTTGTGGGGTCCTGGCCCAAAAAGGGGGGGGGGTTGCACAGTTACATGGGGAAATACCGCTACCCTTACTTCTGAACTGCTGCTGGCAGCATTGCTGGAGAGTGGCTGCTGCTGGCCGAGAGCAGTCGCCAGCAGCACTGCCGAAGTACGGGAGGCGTGGTGTGGTGTTGCTGCTTCTGCACTGCAGCCACCCAGCTCTGCAGCCACTCAGCTCTGAAGGCAACACAGAAGTAAGGGTGGCAATACTGTGACCTCCCCCCATTGAAATAACCTTGCAACCCTCCTGCAATTCCCTTTGGGGCCAGGACTCCCAAATTGAGAAATGCTGGTTTCCCCTGTAAAATCTGTATGGCATACAGTAAAAGCACACAAAAGGCCATTTTTCATGAGGGAGGCCAGAACATAAGTAAGGTCAGACCTAGGCTGTGTCCAGACTCAGGGGTTTTTTCGAAAAAAGTAGCCTTTTTTCGAAAAAACCTCACCTGCGTCCAGACTCAAGCCGCGTTCTTTCGAAATTAAATCGCAAGAACGCGGCTTTTCTTTCGATGGCGGTAAACCTCATTTCACGAGGAAGAACGCCTTCTTTCGAAAGTTCCTCTTTCAAAAGAAGGCGTTCTTCAATGTAAATAGGGCTTCTTCGAAAGAGAGCATCCAGACTCACTGGATGCTTTCTTTCGAAAAAGCAAGCCGCTTTTTCGAAAGTTCAACGTGCAGTCTAGACGCTCTCTTTCGAAAGAGGCTTGCAGTCTAGACATAGCCCAAGAGTCCAACTAGCCCATATCCTGTCTGCTGACAACGGCCAATGCCAGGTGCCCCAAAGGGAGTGAACAGAACAGTAACCATCAAGTGATCCTTCCCCATCACCCATTCTCAGCTTCTAACAAAGCCGAGGGACACCATCCAGGCCAGCAGCTATTGGTGGACCTACCCTCCATGGACTTCTCCAATCCTTTTTTATTTTGAAGTCCATGAGGCATTTTGCATGGCCATGACTTTGGTAGGGCCCTAATCATGGATGAGGTTGTTTAGCAAAAGCTGTGGAGATTTGTGCTTCTGAGTTGAACGCCCTGGAGCCCAACCCTGCTGATGGCCCATGGTAGCAGTTGTTTCCATAATGCCTTTTGTCACTTACAAAAATTAACAACCCGGGTACCAAAACGTAGTGTAATGGGACTAAACCAGTAATGGTCTGCTCCTATCGCATGTTGCCAGAGAAACAAAGAGGAGGACCTGCACTTACCATGTAGGGGCAGACTTGAGAGCCCGGTCCAAAAATTAACTCACATTGTTTATTAACATCATAAATTACTCCTGGGAGTTGCTGAGGCAACGTGTAAGTTCTTGAGACAGGCTCATCGAGCAAACACTCCCCATAACCGGTGCTTCAATAAAACAAAAGAACAACAGGGTCAAACAGGGATTTGTCAGGCTGCAGTATCTTTATCAACGCAGTAGCTCTGTGTCCCTCACACATTAATGACTTCACCCCCAAAGACTCTTGCAGAGTAGGGAATTCTGACTATCGGCCATTTTGCACACACGGCTGCTCTGGGGCATAATGTGCTTAAATGGTGTGGCCCCCGAGTGCCTTCTCCCAGCCTGGGCCTTGACCCACAAGGCCATCCTTTGTCCCTCATTATTGGGTTGTCCTACTGAACAAATACTACTTCAGCTAGTGCGAAACCCAACACATGGCTCTGCGCTCCAAGAGCGAGCGGCAATACTGCACAGTCCCACTGCACAAACACTGTAGGAACCACTTGAAGCTGTACACGCTCTCAGATCGGACAATGCCCAATGCTGGGCCTTCGCCTGCTTCCATCAAAACCAATAGGAGAAGCAGAGAGGCCCAGGACACACCCCTACGTAACTCACGAGACAGAAGAGGAAGAGAACAACGATATTTATTGAAAGCCAACATGTTGGGAAGAGTTTTTACTCCTGTCGGATGATATCGTAGAATCAAAGGATGAACACTCTTCAGTGTACTTAAAATGCACTCTGCACTTTTCACTGCCATCCTGGGCTCAGATCCTGGGCCACGGGAAAGTGGCTTTGTACCATTCCCTCGTGCTAGTTAAGTGAGCAATCTGAGGACTTCTCCTTCTGTGTAGGGGCATCCTAAAGAGGAACAAGTGACATCGTAGACGCTGCCATGCTAACCCCTTCCCAGCTACCCCCGTAAGGAGCAACGCCAGAGGAGAGGACGCAATGCCAAGCCTCCTCCCTCCCCCCCACTTCATCCTTGGGATTGTCAGATGTCAGAAGGGACAATCAGTGCAAACCAGAGCAACTAAGGGCCTCTCTAATTTATTCCAGGGCCCAGGTGGGCTTTGGGTCAGCTCTGAGGCCCCCAGAGCACAGAGGTGGGTTACGTGGCCTTCAGTAATTGCCTGCCTAATTGTACCAGGTGCTTTGTCTCTGAGTCACAATGCTTGGGAAACTCACTGCTCAATAGTAGAGATGACAAGTTCCTTAGAAGCAGTTTCCATGGGGAAAAGACTTAGTCTTCTCCTCAGAGAAGCAATTCCTTGCCAACTAGGACAAGAAGCAGTGAGCTTAACAGGAATATTGTGAGCAAGACATGAGAAATTCTTCCATTCTAACCTGTGCTGATTAGGCCTCAGTTGGAGGATTGTGTTCAGTGCTGGGTGCCACATCTCAAGAAAGATGTGGAGAAATTGGTGAAGGTCCAGAGAAGAGCAACAAAAATGGTTAAAGGTCTAGAAAACATGATCTATGAGAGAAAGCTGGAGGAATTGGGCTTGTTTAGTTTGGAAAAGAGAAGACAGAGGGGACATGATAGCAGCTTTCAGGTATCTAAAAGGGAGTCACAGGGAAGAAGGAGGGAAATTGTTCTCCTTAGCCTCTGAGGCTAGGACAAGAAACAATGGGCTTAAATTGCAGCAAGGGAGGTTTTACTTGGACATTAGGAAAAAATTCCTACCTGTCAGGGTGGTTAAACACTGGAATAAATTGCCTAGAAAGACTGTAAAATCTCCATCACTGGAAGTATTTAAAAGCAGGTTGGACAGACATCTATCGGGGCTGATCTAGATGGTGCTTGGTCTGCCGTGAGGGCAGGGGACTGGACTCAATGACCTCTCGATGTCCCTTCCCGTTCTAGTGCTCTATGATTCTATGAGTCTATGATAAGCAAGAGACAGAACTAGCAGGGTCCCAGTCTCAGAAGGTGCCCTCCTACACTAGCAAGTAGGGGGACACACAAACTCCATTTCTATTCCTTTCCCCAGGACTTGATTTCAATGTAGCAAATGAGTTCTTTCAGGTAGGCTGTATAGACAATACCACCACCACATAGATAGTATCTTACTCTAGAAACTCAGTAATGTATTTCCTACTGCATTTTGACCACATCCAGGGGTTGGTGTAGAAGTTCAATGTTGGTGCCATGACGTGTTGCTGATTTTTCCCTCCATCTTCTTTGCACTTATTATTGTCGTCATGGGGCATGTTAAATCTACCAGGAGCAAAACAAGGTCTGATGAGGGGCATACTAAAGGCCAAGCATACTGCACTGCGGCAGAAACAGGGTGCATAAAACATTCTAATTTTGAAACTGCCGGTTAACATTATAGATAAAAATAGTCTCCCCACCCCCTCCCCAAAAAAAGATTTGGAATAACCACGACACAGTAGCAATGCTTTGGAGCAGTACTGGGGGGCTGGCTGCCAACCGGCCAAGCACAGAAAGCCTTTTGACATCAGCACTATAAAGGGTGACGTGGGACATGAGGTATCCGCAAGCCAGAAATTCTGGTTAAATCTTGATGCAATTTTCTTTCTTGCTAGCAGCCATCATGATCCTGCAAGCAGGGGGGTGGGTGCAGCCTGGGAGGAGAGGGCATTCACCTGGGGACCCCAGGGTGGTGGGTCCAAGTTCCACCATGCACTCTAATACAGGCTGGGTCAGGGCTGGAGCTGGCTCTAACGTTAGGTTTTACATTTGTGTACCATGTCTACCCCACAGAGCTGCAACCCACAGATGGCTGAAGTTCCCTGTGTACTTAAGCCCTGAGGGTATGTCTACACTAGCTCGTTAGTTTGAGCTAGATAGGCAAATGAGGGCAACCGGAGTTGCAAATGAAGCCCGAAATTTAAATATCCCCAATTCGAAGCCCCTCATTCGAACTACCTACTCCGTGTCGCGTGTAGCCGTGGACATGGAGTTCGGTCTAAGGGGGATTTAAAAATGGCGGCGCCCAGGAACATGCAAATGAAGCCCGGGATATTTAAATCCTGGGCTTCCTTTGCAACTCCGGCTGCCCTCATTTGCCTTCCTAGCTCAAACTAACAAGCTAGTGTAGACATACCCTGAGAGTTCAATCGCCTAGTAGCACAAAGCTTCTAATAAAGCTGAACTACAATTTTAGATATCTAGGGCCACATTTATCACGGGTGTAGCTGCCTAAATGGAGTCACACCAGGAATAAACAAAATGTGAATATTTTATCTGGGCGGGCTTCCATTGATGATGCTTCTCGATGGCATTCTGTAAATCCAGGTCTGATTGGCAGCACGCACTCTTGTTGAAGAATGCTGCAAAAATGCACTGGGATCTGTTGCTGTTACAAGAGGGGAAATGAATTGATGTGATCCGCCATGTGAAGGCTGATGAGTTTCTGTTCCCATTAAGATTCCATTTATTAAGCCAACTCTTGCCTCCTGTACAAGAGCACAGAGGCACTTGCCCTTCCTACTTCAAAGTCCCTTTTGCACAAAGATCAGGAAGTAAGCTGCTGCAAGTCAGAGGTGAGGACGGCCAAACCTTTGGGAGATTTCTGTCAGGGCATCAAATACCCTGCCCACAACTGCAATTAAAAATACACTGCCCCAACGTTTTCAGCGCAGAATGAACTATTTATTAGAACTCACTCATCCCAACTCTCTAGTGTAAAGGTGTGTCTACACTGAAGCGCTAGCTTGACAAAAGCTACGCAATACGCAAATCGCGTATCTTATTTTGAGCTTATTTCGAAATAGAGTGCTATGCCGACAAGTCCCCTTAATCCTCGTGGAGCGAGGTTTACCAGGACGTTGGAATTGCGCACCGGTATTATATTTCCAAATAATAAGCGTGCTGTCAAGACGAAGAAAAGACTATTTCAGGATACCTGAAGTTTCCCGAAATAGCACTGCTGTGTAGACATACCCTAACACACAGCATGTTATTTTCCATGGGGGTGTAGCCATCAGAGAGCTAGCACGCCCGGCATGGCAAAGGACTGCATGACTAAGCACCTCTTTGACATCCTTCACTTCAGTGCTCAGTTGGACACGTAGGGACATGTGGAATTCTGGCTTGATTGATGGCCACGCCCATCAACATGAGCACCGCCTGGGGGAGGCTAAATTCCAACTCTGGCCTAACTTCTCCACGGACGCCAGCTGAGTCACATGCCGGGAAGGGTCTCTTCTGACAGGCTGAGGAACAGGTTGAGGCAGGAGAAGAGATGTTTGTCTTGTCCCTTTCGCCACACACCAACCCAGCCTCGTGAGGAAAGCGAGTTGGCCGCTTAGGGGAAGCAGAGCAAGGACCTAAAATAGACCCGCTCCATAGGCCGTCGAGACCTTGGCAACACCCTAATGGCTTCCAATCTCTGCATTTAGAGGTGAGCGAGGCCTGAGAGGAAAGAGCAGTGGAGGAGGGGATATGGGTGTGTGTTTGATTTGGACAGGGGTATGAGAAGGTCAGTGAGGGCTCGCTCAGACCCACCATCCCACCCGTTTTGTGCTCCCTCTGGGCTGGGCCTTCCCTTAGCCGGTCCATGCTGCTAAACGGAGCATCTTCAGCTCCCTTCCAGATACTATCTGCTGTTTATACTTGCACCTTCTACCCATGTGCCCTCAGTTCTTCCCAAGTAGCTAGGCTCAGCGTGGCTACTGTTTTGTAAACTCATTACAAACAACATACACATGGCCAAGTTCATGTGCTATCGTAAAAGCAGTACTTAGTCCGTTATCTTCGCTAATTGAACAGCTTCTGTACGGATCACACACGGTGCCCAGCTCAGCCAGACCTAGAAAGGCAACGGCAGAACAAAGAGAAATATCGCTTGTGGGTAAGCACATATTAACAGCATCACCTCAAAGGAGTAAAAACAACAACAAAAAAATAATAGATTAAGCTTACCTAATGTATCACATTTGTCGTGAGCTCTACATATATCCTGTCTGAAAGCAGAACAGACTTGACGCTTTTAATTTTCATGTACACGCAAGTTACAGTACAAATGCAAAAATAAAAAAAAATATCATTCAAAAGCAGTTCTTGATTCTCCCGCTGACGTTCACAAGCTGGCTTGGTCACACAAGCAGTCAGTGAACTGAACAGAGAGGCTTGTTTTGACTGTCTATTACAGTCAACTAGAGTGTTGCCAATTTCCTTCAATGGCATTCAATGAGGCCCTGAACATTACAATCAGTCTAAGATGTGTTTAACAGAGGGATAAATATTTACCCTGCATCTTTTCATTGCTACGCTACTTCCACAGTTGTAATCCAGACACTTGTTGTCATTAGAGTGCTATGCACAATCAATTATTTCTGATGATCGCATGCATTATAAACCCATAGCTTCCAACTGGGACACTCAAATGGCTACACGATTAATGAGAAAACCCAATATACCTGGTAACAAGGACGGCGGTATCATGTCTGGGCAGGTTGTGTTCTTCAGGGTGGTTCTGGGAATGCTGCCATTGGCAAAAGTTTTTTAATGTTGTCTGGGCATTATACGATATTGAAGGGCCATCCTAGCCATAAAAATACATATATATAAAAATGTGCATTTTAGTTATTCATCTCAATGCTCATTCCCTGTCGCAAGCAGAAAGAGGAAAAAAATATTTTCATTACCTGTTCATTATGGATCACGACTAATTTCACAATCACAATATTAATTAAATTTCCAATACTTGGGTCTTTATAGATAGAGGCTACCTGCATCAAAAGAGAGATTTTCAGAGTTAATGCTGGATTCAAATGAAGAATTAAAGCAACACAAACTGGTCTCCTGTTTTCTCAACGAATGGAGGGCGGCAGTTTTTCGCTGTCACTGGTTTTGATAGTAGAATGATCTGATCATACAGGTCAACTGAGTGCAAAACCTTGACATATTTAGCATCACCCAGGGGCATTGTGTGTGTCAGAATCCCAGCATTTTCTTTTGCATCCAGTCTTTCAATTCGGCCCCGAAATTACAGGGCCACAGTCTATCCTCAGAGATACACCTGCAATGATTCACTAGCTATGATTTTCAAAAACCACCAGTGATTTCAAAAGCTTCAACATCTCAGGTGCCACACTCAAGACGGCTTACATATTGAGAACCTGCCCCTTGAAAATCTAGCCCTTCTAAAAAAAAGTCTCAAATCGGACCCTCAAAACCACCCTCATACTTGATGATCTTGGCCATTCATTGCTGGTAAATAAAACTTTATGAAATTTGCATGTTTGGGGGGAGAAGAGGTGGTAATTTCTCCTGATAATCTTTGTATATTTTCCCTAAGCTTTTACTGCAAATGTGTGTTGATCTGTATTATACTCTACTTTTCCATGGATAACATTGCAAGGCAGGAAGTACTGGGAAGTAGTTTGGGAGCGGAATTTGTACCACAGAAATCAGAGATTAAAAAAACCTGAATGGATCACCTGATCAGTGCTGAGGACTATTCCAGGAATGTTTTGCAATGGATATTTACTAGTGCTTTCAAATAAATGGCAAGTCTCCAGCCAAAATGACTGAAGCTTTTGGCATAACATCCACCCAGAGAATCATTATGTATCACAACTAATTTCACAATAACAATATTGATTACACTTCTAGTACTTGGGTCTTTATAGGCAGAGGTTACCTGCTCCCTTGTCAAGGAACCTTTCTCATAACATTTATTTTCTATCCCTCTGTCTCTCTTTCATCTTTATCGGGGAACGTAAATGGATTATTTTTATTTCTTGACAGCTCATCTCTGTAAAGCACAGCATAAATTATCTAACTGAATAATATCCATTTTCTTTTGCTGTCCATGTCTATATTGTGTAAATACACACATACACACACACACACACTGGTTCTACAATACAAAGTTTTTGTGCAAAACCAACGATTTTTGTACAAAAACTCGCAGAGCATCCACACCTCAAACGTGTTTTTGCACAAGTAAAACGAAAGAGCAGAGGGGTTTTTCCGGTGTAGGTATACTTCTTTCTATGAGGAATGTGTGTATGGGCAACAGAGTTTTTTTGCGAAAAACAGGAATGAGGAAAAAGCACAGGTGCCCTGGTGGCCATTCTGTGGATAGCTATCTGCGCTTTCTTTCAAGAGAGCATCCATGCAGTCTGGACACTCTCTTGCGCAAAAGAGCATCGCTTTTTTGATGTACTTTTGCAGTGTGGACGCTCTGTTGCACAAGAAGTTTTTGCGGAAGATCTCTTCTGCAAAAAGCTTCTTGCACAAGAAGCCTGTAGTATAGACATAGCCTCACGCACATGCCATACCTCTGTATACTCCACTCTAATTCATCTGATGAAGTGGGTTTTATTCACGAAAGCTTATGCCCCAGTAAATCTGTTAGTCTCTAAGGTGCCATAGAATTGCTCATTGTTTTAATGGAATATGAAATGCATTTCCATACTGTTCCATGTCCCATGCACCAGAGAAGAGAGTCACTGAGCATTATGTGGTAAGATGACCCCTGTGGCTACATTGAAAAGATGGTTCTAAGATACCCGAGGGCACTAGACCCTAAACACACTCCTATTGTAAATCTCCCCTCATGACAGAGAGTGGCAGAGTCTTTTGTGCCCCAGCATCTGGACTCTGGGTTCAGAGATTGTGTCTGGTTTAGGGAAGATGGAGTCCTGTGATCCAGAATCTGCCACCCCGGAGCATCCGCTCCCACGCCTGCAGGCAGAGCTCAGTGCTCGGCAGGCACAGACAGCTCAGAGACGATCACTGAGCCCAGCACAAAGATCCAGTGGCATTTGGAACCAGTGAGCACTAAGGAAAATCACCCTCCGGCTGCATGCAAAGAGAGTTGCCACTGGGACTGTTACCCCTTACTGGAAGGTCAACTGATACCTCTGCCCGTCATGAACCGGCTAGTATTTCCCTCTTCCTTTAAGCAGCAATGAAAATTGGGTAAGAACATAAGAATGGCAAATGGGGTCAGACCAAAGGTCCATCTAGCTCACTGTCCTGTCATCCCACAGGGGCCAATGCTACACACCCCCAGAGGGAATGAACACAACAGGGAATCCCAATCCATCACCCATTCCCAGCTTCTGACAAATGAGGCTACGAACACCATTCCTACCCATCCTGGCTAATAGACATTGATGGACCTAACCTCCAAGAATCTAGCTAGCTCTTTTTTGAACCTGGTTAAAGTCCTGGTCTTCACAACAGCCTCTGGGTATTCATTTCATTGCGTGACCCCCTTGTTTGTGTGTTATGGAGGCAAGCAAGTAACTTTTCCTTATTTCCTTTCTCCCACAGCCAACCCCCAAATCCCAGCATGTTGAAAGGGCGGGACATGGAGGGGACCCACCTTTCTGACCATGTAAGCTGGGAAGCCACCTATGGCAAGATTCCCATTCAGCTTGTATTGCACATGGGCCTGAGGGGAAGATCCTCTGGACCTCAAAGACTACCCTACTCTTGAAGGCTTGGGGAACTGAAGGAGTGAGCCACCGGAACAGTTAATGTGTGTGGTGGAGCCAGGGATGGAAGAACCCATCCAGCAGGCCTCGAAGTGTCTTTTGAGGGCTCCAAAATTTTCCGTAGTGAGGGAGGAGCCGGGCCTGAAGTTTTGTCAATCAGAGGCTTAACCTAATCCTGACGTCAGTACAGAACTTGAGGCACACAAGCTGTCCTACATCGCCCCATCCATAAGGGGGCGAGTAAGATCGGAGGGGAAAAATTCTTCCTCCATTTTGATACTTACTATTGACATTAACGTTAGGACATAGTGTTGTAGGTTCGCTCCGTGATAGGCAACCATTCTGCTGTCCGCCACCACCATGACTTCCACAAAGCGAGGGTAAGAGAGGAAACGCTTTGCTCTTCGGTGCGTCTTGCCTTCTCCTGTGTTCTCAGTCTTGTTGCTAACTGTGGAAAATTGATTTCCTTCTATGCTACGTTTGAACACCTCCACGTCAGGTACCAGACTACTTTCTTGCCATGGTCTTCTCTGGTTTTTCCTCTTGCTCTTCTTGTGACTATTTTCATGCCCTACGGTTTAAAAAGAACGAAAGAAAGAAAGAGATGGCCTGGATTCCTAATTGAGTGCATTCAAAACCACATGTTTTTTCATATTAGAAATACTTTTCTGGCCCTACAACAGCTAGTAGTCTGTGTCCTACAATCCTGCAGATTTGTTCTAATTAGCTATTTGTTCTAAGGTTGCACGGAAAGCCACAGTGCAGCAAAACACTTAAATATGTTCTTAACTTTAAAGTCATGAGTTGTCCTACCAAAGTCAATGATGCTTAAAGTTAAACGTGTGTTTAAAGGACTCCAATCCTGTACATAGAATTCACACTAAAAAATAGGGATGTTAAAATGTGTGCATGTAGGTAACCATGTAACTGCTGAAAACTTCAGCGGCTAGCCGTTTACATGGGGGAGGGGGCTGCTTGTAACCATGAAGGTTAACTCATGAGCAGTGTTCCTTGTAAGCTGAGCAGCCACCCAGGAGAAATTCAGGCGCCACTCAGCTGATTAGCAGAGCACTCAGAGCCTCCCACAGCGGCAGCATGCGCTTGGTGATGCACATCTGCACGTGCATAGGTGCACATAACATTTTTTCAGGGCTGGCCTTACCATGAGGAGAACTGAGGCGGCCGCCTCACGTGCCAGACTGTGGGGGCTTGGGAGGGGGGGTGCCACTAGGACCCAGAGAATTGAGACCTTCTGAAGTTTTGGCCCAAGCGAGGGGCATGGTGGCGTCATTTGAGCTCCCCGCCTCAGGTGCCAAAATGTGGGCCGGCCCTGCAATTATTAATCCGCACATGGATGGAAAACATTAGAGGGAACAATTCTGATGAGCTCAGGCTCGTCGGTTAACCATGTACACGTTTACTCTTTCACATCCCTAGTTAAAAACCAGCTAACTTTGCTATACGTATATCAAGGAATTTGTAACGATTCTGTCTGCAGCTGTGTATAGATTCCATGTGCGTCCAATGTGGCTGTTAAGAGTAACCCTTGCCTTACTCACAACTGGAGGACAGAATAAAGAGGTGAAGCAACTACACGGGATACATTTCTGCCTGTAACAATAGCAAGGCTGCGCTTCAAATACTTTCCCCCCTCTTATTATGCCGTGCCACCAAAACGGTAAAGGTCATCAAACAACACAGCTGCCACCGACTAAAGAATAGAGCACAGTTTGTTTCATATATACTGCTTTTGATATTCAGTTAGGCAAAACATAAAAAGGGGACTGGAAAATACGCTACAAGAAGCTAGGAAGATGACAGAGTGAGGAGGGTATCCGGGCCAAGAACACACATGGAACATGTACCATTAAGATTTACCATCTGATTAGTAAGTAATTATAGCATTATTTAAGTGCAAGAGCAAAGCACTGGTATTTGATGCCTCTTGAGTTTTAATCAGCTCCTCATAGGCAGTAGCTAATTGAATGCCATTCATCCCAGAGAAACAGTGCAGGGCTGCTAAGTAACAAAGCCAAATCTGTACTCTTCATCTACCCGGCTGCAGACGTAGAAATTAAGGGAAAGCTACAAAGACTACATCATGCAGGTGAAAAGCATCCAGCTTCCTTATCGGACACGCGGAGAAGGGTACAGGAAGCAGAGTGCAAACAAGATTTCAGCGATAGGGTGCTTCTTGGCTCTTGTACATGTGCCGTTTCCTTGTCGGATGTGTTCGTAATAAGTTCCAAAGCAGGGATTTCAAAATGTTAGCCAAGAGCAGCAGCCTGCAGAGTAAACGGCCCAAGCACCGTTCAACTGAGACATGTTACTTTGCTTCCTGCAAATCAATAGTCAACGTTTTAAAATTAAACGCTGCTGCTCGGCAAACAATACATACTGCATGTTTGGGGTGGGCCATCTTGTCGGATGTGTTCGTAATAAGTTCCAAAGCAGGGATTTCAAAATGTTAGCCAAGAGCAGCAGCCTGCAGAGTAAACGGCCCAAGCACCGTTCAACTGAGACATGTTACTTTGCTTCCTGCAAATCAATAGTCAACGTTTTAAAATTAAACGCTGCTGCTCGGCAAACAATACATACTGCATGTTTGGGGTGGGCCATCTAATGAACTATCTGAGGAAGCAACATGAAAAAACCCTCTAGTTACCTTTGCACTAAACTAGGCAGGATTCTGCTCTCACGCTCAGATAACATCACAGGCAGCGGTGGCTTGCCCCTTACACCCGTGTAAACCAGCGAAGACCGGCCAGCTATCCCTACGGGTCACTCTCCTTTCTGGTGTTCAGCCAAACACCTTAGGTTGCTTCTCGTTGATATAGAGATGTGCCCAGACTAGGGGCAGAACGGAGGCTCAACAGGTCACAAATGAAAAGTTGCTGTTTCAGCACCCTAGAGCAGGGATTCTCACATGTTTTGGCCTGTGGCCCACCCTGCTCAACATAGACCTTTCTGCAGACCACCAGCCAACCTCCCGCCATGACACAATGGGTGCAGGAGTGGACTAGGAGTGGGGGATGGGTGGGAGGGGTGCTGGGAGGGAAGGAGGCTGCAGCAGCCAGCTGAGGCGGGAGGAGGGGTGCTGGGAGGGAAGGAGGCTGCAGCAGCCAGCTGAGGCGGGAGGAGGGGTGACAGGAGGGAAGGAGGGTGCAGCAGCCAGCTGAGGTGGGAGGAGGGGTGCTGGGAGAGAAGGAGGGTGCAGCAGCAGGCTGAGGGCGGAGGGGAAGGAGGGTGCAAGAGCCAGCTGAGGTGGGAGGAGAGGTATTGGGAAGGAAGGAGGGTGCAAGAGCCAGCTGAGGGTGAGGAGGGCTGTGGGGGAAGGAGGGTGCAGGAGCAGGCTAAGAATGTGGGGTCTTGGAGGGAGGAAAGTGCATGAGGGAGATGGGGGGCACTTACCTGGCTCTGCGCCTCCTGCTGCTCCCAGGTCCCCTGCGCCCACTGCTCCCATTGGCCATGATTCCGGCCAATGGGAGCAGCGGGGAAAGCCTCCAGGTGAGCAGTCTCCTGTGCTGCCATTCCCCCAGCTGGGAAGAAGGGGAGCAGCAGTGTAAGGAGCCGCTTCCTCCTCTCCTGCAGCGGGAAGCCAGCACTTGTGCTCCAGGCTCGCTGGGGCAGGGGAGGGCTGGAGCACCATCACAGCGGAGAAGGAGCAAGCCCCGAACCCACGGCCCACCTGCAAGACCATTGTGGAGCACGACTGTACCAATTCTGAAGCCGCTGTGGAGCTCTGCCTTAATGGGAGACATTCCTGCATGAAAACACTTTACCCCTCTGTTAGAAGTTGGAGCCTCTCGACTAATTGGTACTGAATTCTCTTGCCTAGCCAGGGTACAACACTGGCAGCCACATTCAGCACCTGGTGGATCTACCTGCCCTGCAGGGAGAATGTAGTGCTGCCAAGGGTAACCCAAACTCAGTGGGTGGGCTGGCTCCCCCTAAAGTTTCCTGTAATTGTACAGCTTCGCTGGACCTTACTGGTCAGCAGCATCCCTATGTTAGGGCACCTGCAAAGTCCTTAGGTCCAAGAAGGAAAGAAGTATTTCATATCATCAATGAGTTGTAGTTAAGGAGCCAGGGACGTTTGGTACTTGGGGACTTTCTTTTCTAAGACGCAAGTTTACAATTAAGTGGGGCAGGTGTCTTTGTGAGAGCATATATGGGGAGGGTTGGCAGAATTCATGGCTATAATTTTGAGAGCAAATATCGGTGCTTATTTTAAAGCTTTTTTTATTTGTATCAATTTATATTTTCACGGCTGTGCAAAATTAGGGGTTGTAAGCTTTTATTTTATTTCTCTCTCTTTTCAACGCTCACCTTTGCAGGAACGCCTGGGGGCAAGGGCTCAGGCAATTACTGCACGACAGAGGACATTGAGAATTAGAAAGTGAGAGAGTTTTCTGTCCGTTCAAACACAAATTGTGGGCAGATGTCAAAACCGGGGGAGCAGACAGCCTACGCGGGTCCCTTGGCAAGGTGTGGGGCCGGAGGGGGAGTAGCACTGTGCTCTTGTGCCCCACCTCCACCCCAGCACTCAGAGATGCACAGAGCGTGGGGCGGCGCTCCGGCGGCAATTTAAAGGGCTTGGGGTTCCAGCTGCCGCTGTCACAATAGCAGCAAGGGCGCCCCGGAAAAATGGGCCCCTTGGAATCGCAGGGCCTTGGGGTAACTACGCCATTTACCCCGGATCACAATACACCCTGTCAATAGAATCATAGAACTGGAAGAGACCTCAGAAAGTCATCAAGTCCAGCCCCCTGCTCTAGGCTGGACCAATTCCAACCAAATCAACCCGGCCAGGGCTTTGTCAAGCCGAGACTTAAACACCTCTAGGGATGGAGACTCCACTACTTCCCTAGGTAACCCATCCCAGTGCTTCACCACCCTCCTAGGGAAACAGTTTTTCCTAATATCCAACCTGGACCTCTCCCACCACAGCTTGAGACCATTGCTCCTTGTTCTGCCATCTGTCACTACTGAGAACAGCCTCTCTCCATCCTCTTTGGAACCTCCCTTCAGGAAGTTGAAGGCTGCTATCAAATCCCCCCTCACTCTTCGCTTCTGCAGACTGAACAGACCCAAGTCCCTCAGTCTCTCTTCATAAGTC